AAAAAAAAAAAAAAAAAAAATCAATGAAAAAAATATCCTCAGGTGAGGATTAACAAAAAATAAATAAGATAAAATAATACAAATTTAATTATTAAAAAATATTTTTAAAGCTCCTCTTACCAAATTATTAAATTAATCAATAAATATTGAAATATATAACCCCAATAAACCAGAGCTCTTTGGGTCCACAATTTTAACAGTAAGGAGTGCTGAGACCACAACCACTGCTTTCCCTTGATGAATAATTCTTGGAGCAGCGTTTCTGAGTGTTTCTTCCAAAACTCTAATCTCATGAAATGATTCATAATAAAAGGGCTCCACTCTGGAACACATTTGGGAAATTTGGAGAATCATAACGTGCCATTCTTGGAGAGCTATAATCTATACGAGCCTGTCAGACACTCACAGAATCACTGCCGAACTGCATTCACTTCATCTCATTGAATCCAGTGTTTCCTTATGTTTTCTCAGGAAGGTTGTGAGTGCAGAACACTCTGGTCACCTGACCTTGGAGAAGGGGTGACGGGACTGTGGAAATCACCCATAACTTACCTTCCAGCCGGACCACCAGGGGCACCTTAAGTTCCAGCTCCCGGCAGGCCTTGGTGATCCCATTGGCAACGATGGTACAGTTGACAATTCCAGCAAAAATATTGACAAGGATGGCTTCCACCTGAAATAAAAAAACAGAAAGGTGTCCATCAAAATGTTGATAGCCAACATTCTCAAAAACACTGGCTAAACAATAGAGACAATTAAAAAAATACTTTTTTAAAACATAGAACATAAAATATTAAACAAAGGCTTAGAAAATATTAAGTTAAATTGAGTACTAAATTAATAAATAACAATATATAACATTATCATGTTAACCCATATTATCCCATCAATCACTTCTCTGAACTCAAAATGAATTCAGTCACCACTCATTATACACTGTCTTCTGCTTTTCTTACACACTTGTCTGGAACTGTTCTGAGTAGTGTCATTTAAGATTTCAGGCACTAATGTCTTTTCTCCCATGGTTTACACTTAAATTGACCTGTCCTGGTGTCTCATGAACTACTTCAAAGCTAGAAACTTATTATTTGTTGTTTCATATTAATAGGCAAAGACAGAAGCTTTTCCAGGCTTCTTTAGTGCCGTATTGATGTGCTAGAGGTATACTCTCAAAAGTCAGCGGCAGCTTAACTGTCTCAGATAACCTTTTGTATAAAAAAGATATAGACCCCCAAAAGGAAGAGCTGCAAGCTCAAACCATAAGTAAGGACATAAGAAAAGTCAAGCCACTGACTGGAACTTTTCAGAAATCTAAATTTAAACCCAGCATGCCCTGTTTGGGCATATTCCAGGTTCCCAGGCATGTGGGCAGAAAGAAAACTGTACTTGTCCTTACTTGATAAACAGGTGTAAGAAACCCTGAAGAATGAGAACTCATTACCTAGACTAATGGGTAACCCCACAGGAAAACGGCTGTTCATCCAGCGGGAGGCCTCAGAATTCCAACAATGGAGCCACCGCTGAACTAGGCCACACTGATCGCAAAGTATATGAGTGCTACATGCCAGTCCTGTTGTTTAAAATGTTCAATTAGTACCCAAAGCACAGGAGAAAGGAGCACCTTGCGTTTTCTCAGCACTTAGCTGTTTTAGAAAGTGTCTTTATATGAACCCTCATTTTTAATTTCGATCCTCGCCAGAAAGCTATTCAGAAAGTACAGGGAGGGTTACCCTCTGTGGCTGACAAAGCCACTCAGAGGATTCACAGAATGTGCTCCAGGGTCACAAGCTCACATGTAGCAGTGGTGCCGCTCAAGGTCAGCTCTCCAGATAGCCTACTGACCTTCATTCATGCCAGCTGTTAGAGCTGGGGTCCAGGTACACACCTGGGGCAGGGACACACCTTGTCTTGAATATGGTTTCTTCATCTATACAATGGGATAATAGTACTTAGTCCATAAGGTTGCTGAAAGGACTAAATGAGACAATACACGTGAAACACTTAGTACAGGCCTGTAAAGTACTCACTGTGTATTTATACTGTATACGCATTTACTTCTTTTATTTTAAATTCCCACCTCTTCCCTCCTCCCCTCCGGCAACCATCAGCTTGTTCTCTGTATCTATGGGTCTGTTTCTACTTTGTTTTGTTTGTTGTTGTTGTTGTTTTTAAGATTTCACATTTAAGTGAAATTATATATATCTTTCTCTATCTGACTTATTTCACTGAGCATAATACCCTCTAGATCCACCCATGTTGTTGCAGATGGTGAGATTTCATTGTTTGTGTTTCTGAGTAATACCCACTGTATATGTCCCACTTCTTCTCTACCCGTTCATGTGTTGGCAGACACCTGGGTTGCTTCCATGTCGCAGCTTTTGTAAATTACACTGCCATCGACATAGCTGTGCATATATCTTTTTGAATCAGTGTTTTTGTTTTCTTTGGATAAATACCCAGAAGTGGAATTGCTGGGTCATATGGCAGCTCTATTCTTAATTTTTTGGAGAGTCTGCATACTGTTTTCCACAGGGGCTACACTATATGCGCATTTATTTCAACAACTAATGATGAAAGTGGGCAGGTAACCTAGACAGCCAGAAAGAATTAAGAACATCTTTCAGCAGACTGCAGCTATGTTGAATTTGAATATAACGAAGAACCAACTTATTGACATTCAATAAAATGGTAATGACTTAATAAAATAAATGAGCAATATTTTTCAAACCAATTGGGGCTACTCCCAAAAAAGAAATCTCGCATTCCCGTTCACAGCAGGCTGACTGGTAAGCAGAAGCTTGCTTTCCAATAACAGCTTTGAGGCGCTGTCAGCACCGAGGCTCTGCAAAGCAGCAGTTTCCAAATAGCTGTGGGATGGAGAGGAACTTGCCAGAACAATGAAAGAAAAAACACTCGAGCAATGCTGACTCCACGGGGTCCCCGGGAGAAACTCAGAAACCAGGAAGGGCCACGGTGCGCTCAGGTTTGGGTAGAGCTGGGCCTCCCCGTGAGCGCGCACCGGCACACGCCTCCAACGCGGTATCTAAGGCTCAGTTCAGACGTCGGCAACTTCTCAGTGAAGCCGTCTTGTCTGTCCACTTAAGGGTGACTGACTCTGTAATCCATGGAAAATAGCACGACTGCCCCACATAGCAGTCCTATCACACACACAACAAACCCCCACGGATTCATCTGTACAGCAGGAGAGCAGGGCAAGAAGTAACCAGATGCCGGTGCTCTGGGGTGCCCTGGGAGGAGTGTGGATGTCAGCTGTGGACCTGGTGTTGCCTCAGGGGGTACCAGCTCCCACGAGTCTTACATGTCAGCATCTCACGGTGTTTACTGACCACCCGACACTGAAAACATACTCTTCACAGGACAACCACTTCAGCTGGTGCTGAGCCCACGGAAAAGCCCTCTTTTCCAACAACAGAGGACAACTGGCTTTGTGAGACTTGCTGAGAAGCGGGAACTCTAGTTCTCAGATGGAGTTTATTCTCCTCTCACCCTGCACCCCATCCCTCCTGTGCAGGTCACCCCTGGGGTCCTCCTCACCAGGACCATATGCTCCCACAGCAGCTGGCACAACCCACACACAGCGTAACCCTAACCCACTACAGGCGACTTCAGGAGCGAATGGGCTTAACTTCAGTAGACACTTACTGGCCACCACCTTGTATCAGGCACAAAGGTAGGTGCTAGGGGAGAGGAGATGATGATGAATGAGGGGCCATCGCTGTCCTCAAGGGGTACAAAGGCTAGTCTGAGACAGAGCGGGAAAGTGGCAGTTACGATCCTGGGTTTGAGGTGTCACTCAGAGCTCATATCAGAGCAGAGCCCGTGATGCAGGCGGCTGCCTCGAGAGGCCTCCTGAGCTGAAGAACAGAAGGGGACTGGGGTGGGAGGGAGCAGCCAGGGTGAAGGCCGTCCGTCACCAGAGATGCTGCAGGCCAGGGGGGCCAGGGGGGGCCGAGACCAGGGCAGAGGCTGGGGACGTGGTTCTTTTTGCTTTTTCCAGAGCTGGGTGAAGGTTAGTCTTGAAAGTAGCCTCCCTTGGGTCAGGGGAGGAGTGACAGGTGAAGGGGCTAGGGAGAGAAAAGAGAGAGTGTGAGTGAACAGGAGATATACAGAGTGAGTGTGCTCAGCGGTGGGAGCGAGAGGGAGAGAGAAGCAGTGTGGGGGGGAGAGGGAGGGAGAGGGAGAGAGAGGGAGAGAGAAGCAGTGGGGGGGAGAGAGGGAGAGAAAAGGGAGAGGAGAGGAGAGGAGTTTGAGTGCAACCAACAAAGCAGTTAGGAGTTTTACAAGGGGAGCAACAAGACACATGCACACAGGCTGCTTAGCTGGGCACAGGGTGCCCGTCATCCGGGGGGCGTGTACCGGAGAGGCATCACCACTGGGATGGGAGACAGGCTCCACCAGAGACAGGCCACTCTTGCCCACTACAAAGCAATTTGCTGCAATCTGCACTTTAACGGAAATCTGATTTAAGTTTCACTCTGGGCCCCTTCCTATAATTGACTACTGTAACCTGTAATCTGAAACTGAGAGTGAAATTAAGACAATCTGAAAATGAAGGCACTGTGACATCATCACTGGTATTCAGCACTTACAAAGCCGTCAGATCGTGTGGGCCTCCCATCCACTCATTATCACAACCACTAACACACACTCTGTGACAAGGGCCAGAGCAATTCCGATACCTTCTTTTTTCTTGAGAAAGGGAATCTTCAAGAAAAATGGTGCTGGGTCTAGTTAAGTACCAGAGACTCTAGGAAGATCCCTAAGTGCTCAGGGAATGGAGGTTTTTCCAAATTCTCGGGTGAGAATCATAAGGGCTGCTATTTACTGTTTCTCAAAAGTAAAGGTCCCCGGTGAGGCCACTGAGGTGCCAGGCACATGCGCACACCCCAGGCCCTGGCCGGGTGGGAGGCAGCTGTGGGCAGCTGTGCAGGTGCTCCCGCAGCCCAGGTGCAGGTTTTCACATCTCTCTGTTTGACTTTGCAAAATATGCCCTCCTGCTGCAGACTTTAGTCCACAATTAAAAGAGTGAAATTCAGAAGAAGAAAAGCAACAGCCTTTGGTGTTTAACAAACTCCTCTCAACCCCAAATAAACCAACCAACCAATAAAAATCATGATTAAAACCTCTTTGGGGGAACATGATCATTTTGAGTACCTGATGAACACTGTGGCACCCGTGTCAGATAAATTCACACACACAATTTTTGGGGAAGATTTTAGCTGAGTCCCATGACTAATTTAAGGATTTGGCCTCAAAGGCAGGTCATGACAAAGGGTTGGATACAGCATGTGCATGTAGGACAGGAGATGAGTTGCAGGGAAACTGAATTCTTTGCAACTATTTACAAAATTTTACTTGAATTTGTATTCTTCTGGGGCGACTGCCCATAATCTCTAAGAAAAGAGATTACTTTTTAAAAAATGTTTTTATTGATTCATGGAGAGGAAGAGAGAGGGATAGAGCGATAGAAACATCAATCAGCTGCCTCCTGCACAACCCCTACTGGGGACAGAGCTGGCAACCCAGGCACGTGCCCTGACCGGAAATGGAACTGTGACCTCCAGGTTCATAAGTAGAAACTCAACCACTGCCACACTAGCTGGGCAAGAAAATACATTAATTAATAATTAATCACAAATACAACACTAGCTA